TCTGACAGGAAGCAGTACATTAAGCTGGGAACACAAGTCTCTGACTCCAGGTACATCAGCACCGGAACTCCTCAGGGCTGCGTCCTTTCCCCACTGCTCTTCTCCCTGTACACCAACAGCTGCACCTCCAATCATCTGTCCGTCAAACTCTTGAAGTTTGCGGATGACACCACCCTCATTGGGCTGATCTCTGGTGGGGATGAGTCTGACTATGGGTGGGAAGCTGACAACCTGGTGACCTGGTGTAGCCAGAACAACTTAGAGCTAAATGCTCTAAAGACAGTTGAGATGGTTGTGGACTTCAGGAAAAATACAGCCCCACTTACCCCCATCACCCTGTGCGACTTCCCAGTCAAAACTGTAGAGTTCTTCCGTTTCCTGGGCACTATTCTCTACCGGGACCTCAAATGGGAAGTGAACATCAGCCCTTTCACCAAGAGAGCTCAACAGAGGATGTACTTCCAACGGCAGCTGAATAAATTCAACCTGCCAAAGACAATGATGGTGCACTTCTATACAGCAATCATTGAATCCATTTTCACCTCCTCCATAACCGTCTGGTACGCTGCTGCCACTGCCAAGGACAAGAGCAGACTGCAGCATATCATCCACACTCCCGTTGCTCCAGAAGGACTCTGACCCAATTCTCCCTCCTCCCCCATTATGTCCCCAAAGCCCGTTAACCCCCGGGTCACATGACGTCATCCTGAGCATCCAATCAAATCCTCTTTTCCGGCCGTTTTGAGCGCTCTGGCCGTTGGTGGGGGGGGGGGGGGGGGTCGCGTCATCCCCCCCCCCTCCTTCCCATTGTCTCTGTGCCTGCGTTCCTCGCCGGTGACTCACCGATAATCCCCTTGGCCCCTCCCACTTAAGTCAACTTCTTTTCTGCCTCGGGGCTTTTCCCTCCCACCCCACTGTTTACCCTTACGCTGGGTACTGGCTGAAGGTCCCACCCCCCCCCCCCCCCCGTGTTGTGAATGCTTCAATGCGGCCGGCCTGTAAAGCTCTACGCCCCCCTTTTTGGGGGGGCCGCCATGTAATCCAGTCTGGGGGGCTCAGCCAATTTCCTGGTCCGGGGAAACCGTGGAACGTCCCTGCTAGTGGAGTCCTCGAGTGAAAACCCATCGTACCAGGTGATCCCTCCTCGAGACCCTACGGGGGTGCATGTAAGTGTTTAGTGGGGCGTGCGTTCGTGGGGGGGGGGGGGGGGCACATGTAGGGGGTAACGGCGACCAAGCTGCTCCGCTGCGGTGGCACCACACAATCTACCAACCCTCGAGGACCTGCACACCTCGAGGAGCATGAGGCGAGCGAGGAAGATTTGTGGCCAATTCCTCCCACCCTGGACACTTCTCTGTTCCAGCTACTCCCCTCCGGCAGAAGGCTGCGGTCCATCGGGACCAAAACCTCACGCCACAAAAACAGTTTCTTCCCATCTGCTGCTGGCCTCTTCAACAAGGCCAAGGGCTTACACTGACTTTAACATTTTATCTACAAAATGACACCTTGCCATATTTACACTATGTTACCCTATTTGTATTTTTAGATTGTATCTCATAGCTAATTTATATTCAATATTTATTCAAAATTTTACATACTTTAGCCCCTTAGTGTTAGTTAGACGTTGTACCTTTAGTATAGTTAGACTTGTATACCACTTATTTATGATTTAAGATTCCTATATGTTGAATGTAAATTCCTTGTCTGTGCGAACTTTCATGGCGAATAAAACCCTTTCTGATTTAAACCCTTTCTGATTAAAGTCATGTAAATAGAAAACAATAATAAATAAAAAATGTGTTTATTTTTATTATTTAAATTGTCATTTCATTTAAGTTTTTTTCTTTAATGAAACATGTTTTTTTAATTTACCTGACTTTACCGAAAGAACCAAGAATATTAATTCCTGCAGTCACAAAAGTTTAAAGTCAAAATAGAATGCACCTCCACTAGGCTCGCCTCAATCTGCGTGGAGGCTTGGCCCCCACACACACACAGTGTGTACACACACACAGTGTACACACACACAGTGTGTACACGTATACACACAGTGTGTACACGTACACACACACAGTGTACACAAACACACAGTGTACACACACACAGCATGTACGTACACACACAGTGTACACACACAGTGTACACACACACACTGTGTACGTACGAACACAGTGTGTGTACGTACACACACAGAGTGTACACACACACAGATTGTACACACACACAGATTGTACACACACAGTGTACACACACACAGTGTACACACACACAGTGTACACAACAACCACCATTCGCCACTAAGTGGCGGTGACGTCACCACGACGCTTGTGCCAGGCTATGTGCACCCTGAGGCCACGTGAAGTGTCGAACGCCCGCTGGCAGGAGGTCACGGGGCAGACCCAGGTGCCACGGGTCGACTGACTGAGATGACTGGTTGATGCACCACCTGTGCCCCCTACTGTGCCAACCTGCTGTGCTTTAGCCACCCGGCGCTCCGCTCGCTGTTGTGAGCGTCGCTCCTCCGCCCTCCGTTGTTGTTGGAGGGCGACTGCCTCCAACTGCCCAGTAGCATCCTTCACGAGCCTCCTCCACAGAGGCCGATCTTGACACCGCTGGTACCAGTCATCGGCAAGTCCACTCAGCTCCACGTCCTCCTGTACCACATCACTCCATCTCTTCTCTAGCCCGTGCCGCGCCCACTTAGCCCCCTCAATCCGGCCAAACAAAAGCTGTTTCGGCATGCGGTGGCTGGGCATGCAGGCTACATGATCCAGCCATCGCAGCCTTGCCTGCCGGAGGAGCTCACCGATGGGACCTTGCCCAGATCTTTCAAGGATTTGTGAGCTCCTCACACAATCCAGTCTGGTTAAACCCAGGATGGATCGTAGGCAGGCCAGCCTAAATGTTTCTAACCGGCGAAGATGTTCCATTAGGGGGGTCCACGTTTCGCAAGCGTAGAGAAGGGAGGGAATGACCGTGGCCGAGAAGACCTGAAGCTTAGTGCGGAGCGACAGACCAGGTAGCTTCCACACAGCGTTACGCAACCGATGAAAAGATATTGCCGCTCGACTGATTCGGAGTGAGACCTCTGCTGTTAAACTGGAGCCAGTCATAAGCACACTGCCCAGGTATGGGAAACTCTCCACTCTCTCCACAACTGCCCCATCACCGATTGGGAGTTGTGGGGGTGGAGTGTCCGATGGTACAAAATACCCAGGCAGGTGCTTAGTTTTGGTGGGGCTGATGGTAAGGCCCCACCTCTTAGTGGCACGCTCCAGTCTCAGCAGCAGCGTCTCCAACTCCTCCTCTGACTGAGCAGCTATTACCAAGTCATCAGCATACATAACGTGGTTGAGCAATAGGGAGCCATCCCTTGACCGCACCCGGGCATCGATTAGCCTCCCATTATATCTGTACCATATGGAGATTCCCCCGGTACAGCTATTGAAGGCTTCACGAACTACGTGGTCAAAATAGATGTTAAATAATGTGGGAGCCAGAGGACATCCCTGTCGCACCCCAAGGTGTACAGGGAATGGCTCTGACTCCCGGCCACGTAGTTTTACCCGGGCCCGCTCACCATCATGAAGGTCCTTAATGATCGTGAGCAGAGGGTCAGGTACTCCAAAAGCACGAAGAACGACCCAGAGCCCAGGCCTACTGATGGTATCATAGGCCTTGACCAGGTCAATAAAGCAGAGATGTAGGTCTTGTTGGAATTCCCTACACCTCTGCTGTAGCAGACGGACAGAAAATATGGCATCTGTGCAGGACCGCCCTTTCCTGAAACCGCATTGGGGCTCCGCAAGCCTCTCCTCAGCGTGCCTGGCAAGGCGATGCTGAATAATCCTTGCCAGGACCTTTCCCGGCACACTGAGGAGTGAGATGCCCCTGTAGTTGTTACAGTCTGTGCGGTCCCCCTTTTTAAGAAGGGGGACCGCACAGACTGTAACAACTACTTAAAAAGGGGGACCGCACAGACTGTAACAACTACAGGGGCATCTCACTCCTCAGTGTGCCGGGAAAGGTCCTGGCAAGGATTATTCAGCATCGCCTTGCCTTCTTAAAAAGGGGGACCACCAGGGCATCCTACCAATCCTGTGGAACCCGTCCAGTGGTCCAGACTGTTGTTATGATGTCATATAGGGCAGTCTGTGCACAAACGCCACCCTCCCTCAGCATTTCGCTTGGGAGATCATCTCTGCCCGCTGCCTTTCCTGGTCTCAGACTCCGGATCGCCTTCAATACTTCCTCAGCAGATGGCACCTCAGCCAGCCACTCACAGGGGGTGACTTCATCCAATATTTGAGGCACCGCAGCCTCAGCAGGGTCATCCTCACTTTGTGCCACGGTGTTTTCCTGGCTGAGGGATTTTCCCTCCCCCAGGACCTCACAGAAATGCTCAGCAAATCTGCGAACCTGTTCCTGGGGGTCGGAAATTGGATCACCGTTTTTTCCCCTAATGATGGTAATAGGTGTGGCGCTGCAGGTTACTTTTTTGATGGAGTTAAATAGAGAGTTGTGATCACGGGCCACTGAGGCACAGTGTACACACGTACACGTACACACAGTGTGCGTACACACACATAGTGTACAAACACACACACACAGTTGTTGCTGAGCTCACACACCCAAGGGGTCTCTGATCAAGGGAGGGAGCAATGGAAAATTAATTTAAATCAACTTAAACTCAAACCCCGCTCTGTGACGTCACCACTCAGCATTACCTCATCGGCGTGAAACGACAGGGGGAGGTGTACCTCGCTAGTGACGTCATGTCACCAAGGTATTCACAACACCCCGTCCACCGCGCCCTTGAGCGTGGCGTCACGTCTGCCTGGGTCACTTCCCTTATCTGTTCAAGTAGAATCCTTATTTGGGCAAAGCTACTCCAAGGGACTGGCGGCTCATTAACATAATATATTCATGAAAGCCGTCGCGAGATTATTGCGACGAGATCGGCACCCACGCCCATCCCTCTACGTATGGGCCAGGCTCATTAACATAATTTATTTAAGTTACAGAGCTGCTCATTGTGGGAGAGGAGTGTTTGTACCCTGCAAGTGACGTCATGTCAACTCCGGCTGCTGTATGACGTCACGAAATAACAGGAAGCTGCTGCTCCGCCGTGCACTGAAATCCGAGGTGAGAAATTCTCATCGCGATTGTGGTGGTGGTTGTTGTTTACCGAGGTAGAGCCTCGCTCTCTCTCGTAGGGATGTCAATTGAGTAGCAGCGAGCATGGAAGCGATGTCCAGGTTGGAAATTTACAGCGCGGGGCCTAGCCACGCGGGGCCTTGCCTCCTGCCCTCGCCTGATCGCGTTTGCTTCAATTCTCTCGCTTAAGTTTAATTTGTCTTCACTCAGCTCGCCACTTTGTGACTTTGTTTTACTTGTGGTGGTTGTTGTGGTGGTGGTTATTGTGGTGGTGGTGGTTGTGGTGGTGGTTGTGGTGGTGGTTGTTGTGGTGGTTGTTGTGTTGGTGGTAGTGGTGGTTGTTGTGGTGGTGGTTGTGGTGGTGGTTGTTGTGGTGGTTGTGGTGGTTGTTGTGGTGGTGGTGGCTGTGGTGGTTGTTGTAGTGGTGGTTTTGGTGGTGTTTGTGGTTGTTGTGGTGTTTGTTGTTGTGGTGGTTGTTGTGGTGGTGGTTGTTGTGGTTGTTGTGGTGGTGGATGTTGTGGTGGTGGTTGTTGTGGTTGTTGTGGTGGTGGGTGTTGTGGTGGTGGTTGTGGTGGTTGTTGTGGTGATGGTTGTGGTGGTTGTTGTTGTGGTGATGGTTGTGGTGGTCTTTGCTGTAGTGGTGGTGGTTGTGGTGATGGTTGTGGTGGTGGTTGTTGTGGTGGTGGTGGCTGTGGTGGTTGTTGTAGTGGTGGTTTTGGTGGTGTTTGTGGTTGTGGTGGTTGTTGTGGTGTTTGTTGTTGTGGTGGTGGTTGTGGTGGTGGTTGTTGTGGTGGTGGTTGTTGTGGTTGTGGTTGTTGTGGTGGGTGTTGTGGTGGTGGTTGTGGTGGTTGTTGTGGTGTTTGTTGTTGTGTTGGTGGTTGTGTTGGTGGTTGTGTTGGTGGTTGTTGTGGTGGTGGTGGTTGTTGTGGTTATTGTGGTGGTTGTTGTGGTGGTTGTTGTGGTTTTGGTGGTGGTGGTTTTGGTGGTGGTTGTGGTGGTGGTTGTTGTGGTGGTAGTTCTGGTGATTGTGGTTGTGGTGGTGGCTGTGGTGGTTGTTGTGGTGGTTGTGATTGTGGGGGTTATGGTTGTGGCGGTGACTGTGGTGGTGGTTGTTGTGGTGATAGTTGTGGTGGTGATTGTTGTGGTAGTGGTTGTTGTGGTGGTAGTTCTGGTGATTGTGGTGGTGGTTGTTGTGGTAGTGGTTGTTGTGGTAGTGGTTGTTGTGGTAGTGGTTGTTGTGGTGGTTGTGGGGGTGGTTGTTGTGTTGGTGGTTGTGGTGGTTGTTGTGGGGGTGGTTGTGGTGGTGGTTGTTGTGGTGGTTGTTGTGGTGGTGGCTGTGGTGGTTGTTGTAGTGGTGGTTTTGGTGGTGTTTGTGGTTGTGGTGGTTGTTGTGGTGTTTGTTGTTGTGGTAGTGGTTGTGGTGGTGGTTGTTGTGGTGGTGGTTGTTGTGGTGGTTGTTGTGGTGGTGGGTGTTGTGGTGGTGGTTGTGGTGGTTGTTGTGGTGATGGTTGTGGTGGTTGTTGCTGTGGTGATGGTTGTGGTGGTCTTTGCTGTAGTGGTGGTGGTTTTGGTGATGGTTGCTGTGGTTGTTGTGGTGTTTGTTGTTGTGTTGGTGGTTGTGTTGGTGGTGGTGGTTGTGGTTGTTGTGGTGGTGGTTGTTGTGGTTATTGTGGTGGTTATGGTGGTGGTTGTGGTGGTGGTTGTTGTGGTTTTGGTGGTGGTTTTGGTGGTGGTTGTTGTGGTGGTAGTTCTGGTGATTGTGGTTGTGGTGGTGGCTGTGGTGGTTGTTGTGGTGGTTGTGATTGTGGGGGTTGTGGTGGTGACTGTGGTGGTGGTTGTTGTGGTGATAGTTGTGGTGGTGATTGTTGTGGTAGTGGTTGTTGTGGTGGTAGTTCTGGTGATTGTGGTGGTGGTTGTTGTGGTGGTTGTTGTGGTGGTTGTTGTGGTGGTTGTTGTGGTGGTTGTGGTTGTTCTGGTGGTGGTTGTGGTGGTTGTTGTGGTGGTTGTGGTGGTTGTTGTGGTGGTTGTGGTGGTTGTTGTGGTGGTGGTGGCTGTGGTGGTTGTTGTAGTGGTGGTTGTGGTGGTGGTTGTGGTGGTTGTTGTGGTTGTTGTGGTGGTGGTTGCTGTGGTGGTTGTGGTGGTGGTTGTGGTGGTTGTTGTGGTGGTTGTTGTGTTGGTGGTTGTGGTGGTTGTTGTGGTGGTGGTTGTGGTGGTGGTGGTTGTGGTGGTGGTTGTTGTGGTGGTGGCTTTGGTGGTTGTTGTAGTGGTGGTTTTGGTGGTGTTTGTGGTTGTGGTGGTTGTTGTGGTGTTTGTTGTTGTGGTGGTTGTTGTGGTGGTGGTTGTTGTGGTGGTTGTTGTGGTTGTTGTTGTGGTGATGGTTGTGGTGGTGTTTGCTGTAGTGGTGGTGGTTGTGGTGGTGGTTGTTGTGGTTATTGTGGTGGTTATGGTGGTGGTTGTGGTTGTTGTGGTGGTTGTTGTGGTTTTGGTGGTGGTTGTGGTGGTAGTTCTGGTGATTGTGGTTGTGGTAGTTGTTGTGGTGGTTGTGATTGTGGGGGTTGTGGTTGTGGTGGTGACTGTGGTGGTGGTGGTTGTTGTGGTGATAGTTGTGGTGGTGATTGTTGTGGTAGTGGTTGTTGTGGTGGTAGTTCTGGTGGTTGTGGTAGTGGTTGTTGTGGTAGTGGTTGTTGTGGTAGTGGTTGTTGTGGTGGTTGTGGGGGTGGTTGTTGTGGTGGTGGTGGTTGTGGTGGTGGTTGTTGTGGTGGTTGTTGTGGTGGTGGTGGTTGTTGTGGTGGTTGTGGTGGTTGTTGTGGTGGTGGTGGCTGTGGTGGTTGTTGTAGTGGTGGTTGTGGTGGTGTTTGTTGTGGTGGTGGTTGTTGTGGTTGTTGTGGTGGTGGGTGTTGTGGTGGTGGTTGTGGTTGTGGTGGTTGTTGTTGTGGTGATGGTTGTGGTGGTTGTTGTTGTGGTGATGGTTGTGGTGGTGTTTGCTGTAGTGGTGGTGGTTGTGGTGATGGTTGTTGTGGTTGTTGTGGTGTTTGTTGTTGTGGTTGTGGTGGTGGTTGTTGTGGTGGTGGTTGTTGTGGTGGTGGGTGTTGTGGTGGTGGTTGTGGTGGTGGTGGGTGTTGTGGTGGTGGTTGTGGTGGTTGTTGTTGTGGTGATGGTTGTGGTGGTAGTTGTTGTGGTGATGGTTGTGGTGGTGTTTGCTGTAGTGGTGGTGGTTGTGGTGGTTGTGGTGATGGTTCTTGTGGTTGTTGTGGTGTTTGTTGTTGTGTTGGTGGTTGTGGTGGTGGTTGTTGTGGTGGTGGTTGTTGTGGTTATTGTGGTGGTTATGGTGGTGGTTGTGGTGGTTGTTGTGGTGGTTGTTGTGGTTTTGGTGGTGGTTGTGGTGGTGGTTGTTGTGGTGGTAGTTCTGGTGATTGTGGTTGTGGTGGTGGCTGTGGTGGTTGTTGTGATGGTTGTGATTGTTTGGGTTGTGGTGGTGGCTGTGGTGGTGGTTGTTGTGGTGATAGTTGTGGTGGTGATTGTTGTGGTGGTTGTGGTGGTTGTGGTGGTTGTTGTGGTGATGGTTGTGGTGGTTGTTGTTGTGGTGATGGTTGTGGTGGTCTTTGCTGTAGTGGTGGTGGTTTTGGTGATGGTTGCTGTGGTTGTTGTGGTGTTTGTTGTTGTGTTGGTGGTTGTGGTGGTGGTTGTGGTGGTGGTTGTTGTGGTGGTGGTTGTTGTGGTTATTGTGGTGGTTATGGTGGTGGTTGTGGTGGTTGTTGTGGTGGTTGTTGTGGTTTTGGTGGTGGTTGTGGTGGTGGTTGTTGTGGTGGTAGTTCTGGTGATTGTGGTTGTGGTGGTGGCTGTGGTGGTTGTTGTGGTGGTTGTGATTGTGGGGGTTGTGGTGGTGACTGTGGTGGTGGTTGTTGTGGTGATAGTTGTGGTGGTGATTGTTGTGGTAGTGGTTGTTGTGGTGGTAGTTCTGGTGATTGTGGTTGTTGTTGTGGTAGTGGTTGTTGTGGTAGTGGTTGTTGTGGTAGTGGTTGTGGTGGTTGTTGTGGTGGTTATGGTGGTGGCTGTGGTGGTGGTTATTGTGGTGATCGTTGTGGTGGTGATTGTTGTGGTAGTGGTTGTTGTGCTAGTGGTTGTGGTGGTTGTGGTTGCTGTGTTGGTTGTTGTGGTGGTGGTTGTTGTTGTGGTTGTTGTGGTGGTTGTTGTGGTGGTTGTGGTGGTGGTTGTTGTGGTGGTTGTTGTGGTGGTGGTTGTGGTGGTGGTTGTTGTGTTGGTGGTGGTTGTGTTGGTGGTGGTGGTTGTAGTGGTGGTGGTTGTTGTGGTGGTTGTGGTGGTGGTTGTTGTTTACCGAGGTAGAGCCTCGCTGCCTCTCTCGTAGGGATGTCAATTGAGTATCAGCGAGCATGGAAGCGATGTCCAGGTTGGAACTTTACAGCGCGGGGCCTAGCCACCCGGGGCCTTGCCTCCTGCACTCGCCTGATCGCGTTTGCTTCAATTCTCTCGCTTAAGTTTAATTTGTCTTCACTCGGCTCGCCACTTTGTCACTTTGTTTTACTGGTTGTTGTGGTGGTTGTTGTGGTGGTGGTTGTGGTGGTGGTTGTGGTGGTGGTTGTGGTTGTGGTGGTTGTTGCAGTGGTGGTGGTTGTGGTGGTTGTTCTATTGGTGGTGGTTGTTGTGGTGGTGGTTGTTGTGGTGGTTGTGGTGGTAGTTGTGGTGGTAGTTGTGGTTTTGGTGGTGGTGGTTGTGGTGGTGGTTGTTGTGGTTGTTGTGGTGGTAGTTGTTTTACTTGTTGTGGTGGTTGTTGTGGTGGTTGTTGTGGTGGTGGTGGTTGTTGTGGTGGTTGTTGTGGTGGTTGTGGTGGTTGTTGTTGTGGTGGTGGTGGTTGTGGTGGTGGTTTTGGTTGTAGTTGTGGTGGTTGTTGCAGTGGTGGTGGTTGTTCTATTGGTGGTGGTTGTGGTGGTGGTTGTTGTGGTTTTGGTGGTGGTTGTGGTGGTGGTTGT